TCAGTTCCGTAGATTTATGAATTTTCTGATTTGGGGTTGCCAAAATTGTACCTTTGATTATGCTTACATATAGATTTACTAAATTCAGTTGGATGCTACAACTGCTCCTCTAATGTAATAATTCCTCAAATGATTTTTTATTCGGTCCTAAACACAAGCAGCCAATGAAATCCAGATAGCCTCTTAATGAAGTATAAACTTTTCTATCTTCAAGATTCTACAATTGTTTCTCTAATGTAATAATTCCTCAAATGATTTTTTATTCGGTCCTAAACACAATCGGTCAATGAAATCAAAGGAATCGCAACATAATAGAAATCTAAAATTCAGTTCAAGCCATAATTTCCTTTGCTTTGATGGCAAAGCAGCGCCTCCTAACCAAAATCAAGCCAGCAAACCAGCAACACTGATTCAAGCACCTCTAGCACATTTCTAATGTCCACACCCGAACCAACTCACATATCGTTCAGATCATAGTCAAAACTTATAATTCCACATGCACCTTTAGCTCATACTCACAAAAAGAACAAAGAGCCACAGCAGCGCAAGCAAGAATAACATAACAAAACAAGGCATAAACCAAATCCCTCATAAAAACTAATCAAGTAGACCAACCAAATCCAAAAACCTAGAAAATCATTCAAAGTCATCTCTAACGGCATTGATTCAAAGTAGAGATCTAAAAGCTTCAGAGCAACGCTTACCTAATTTGACACAAGAGAAAAAGACATTAATAATGGGAAGAGTATGAAACAGACGACTAGGGGTGAAAACGAACCGAACATGAATGAATAGAGCTCATGTTCATGTTCAATTCATTTGAAATTATGTGTTTGAAATATGTTCGTGTTCGAAATTATTCATGAAATTATTGTTCGTGTTTGGTTTGATTTGTTTAAAATTAATTCAAATTGCTCAAAATATTTGAAATGTTCGAATTGTTTGTAATGTTTGCATTGTTCAGTTTATTCGTGTTTGATTCGAATTTGGTTTGAAATGAGTTAAAAAATAAAATGATAATAAATTTAATTATTAATTATTAAATTAACAAAAAAATAAATAAATAACATCCCTATATATAAAAATAAGTATTTCTTCAACTATATCATTATAAATCGTTAATAACAAGTTACAAATGAAATATACATTTAAAGTTCCAAACTCAAATTCTTAAAAAAATATAAATTATTATTATAAAACAATTAAATAAATAATCAATAATTTACAAATACATTACAAATAAAAAAAATACACTTGATTCCAAGTTCCAAGTTCCAACACCCACTCTTCATTCCTCCAAATTTCATTTTATCATAACTTTAATGTACATGTAAATTAAAAAAACAGTAAAAGAAAAAACTAATTAGATCATGACCAAAAAAAAATGAAAAATTGAGTGACATGCATGCTACCTGAAAAGTGGAAATCATTTAACTACAAAGCAACAATCATTAACCAACAACCAAGTGATCCAGCAACCAATAGCGAACAACCAATGGCCAAAACAGGACAATAACAAAAGAGGCACAAAATGATAAACAAAAAACAAGAAAATGAAAATGAAATTGAGCTCAAAACAGACCTAACGAAATTACATTAAAATCTCTTCCAAATACTATAAATATTTTCTATCAAATATTTATAATTATGGTTGAATTTTAATGAAAAGATTGGAAAATATAATTGCACAAACAAAATACCCTACCAAAAGAGAAAGATCTAGAAGTAGTTTAACAAATCAGCAAATTTGATATAATAAGAAAATCCAAAAATTACAGATAGTAGCAATAAAAACTGACAGAAAGCCAATTTAATCTCCAATTTCGAATCTTATTTTATGCATGAACGCAAATATTTTAAAGGTATGTAATCCACATATTATTCATCAGAAGTAACGATTAATTCATAGCTAATAGCTTACAACCAAAAACATAAAAAACTGCACAATGGCTATTAGCCAACAAACAAGTGGTCCAACAACTAAATGGCCAATACGGCAATACCAATAAATCTTAGCCAACAACCAAAAACCAACAACCAGTATAGCATAAAGTGAACAAAAACTGAGGAGAATACCGTAAGAAGTGCATTAGGTCCTACGAGGTTTGTATTTATATATATTAGATATATTGAATGTCAAATATATGTTTAACTCTGGAGGCAAAGACAACAAACATATAAGCATTGTCATTTATACATTTCAGTATTGGAAAGTGGTCAAATTTCAATGCTTGCAACTTCTATTATATAGATCACCAACTTCAAATGTCTTCAACCTTTGTTTCTGATCAGCTTGGGCCATATATTTGCTTTTGTTGATGAAAAAGACTATGAACCAATAACAAGAGATAACAAGAGACTAATCAACAAAAAATCACAGATGCTTGATAAATTCCAACAACGAAGGGCCAAGGTAAGCCCGATATAGAATTGTTGGAGTGGAATAAATTGAATCCCATGAATGTACCTACCTCAATAGAGGGTTGAATCAATAAATAGTGATTGAATAATAAAAGAGTGGCCCCTAGCAAATAGTAAACATATAAAATTTAAAAAACAACATCTTACCCAACAAAATAAACATAAGAATTAAAAAGCACAACATATCCTCCAAAGTGGTTATGATCAAAGGCATGATTCCAATGAACTACAATTGAAATTAAACAAAAGCAATAAAAACAAAAAAAATAATAATAAGTAAAAAAAATAAAACTAAAGTAAACCAAAATAAAAAACTTGGCTCAAATCATAAAATTGTCCATCTGAACAAACCTAAATTTACTTTTTTGAATCTTACCAACTGTAAATTTTTCATCATTTTGTATAAAATTTTGTGTAATACTGCAAGTCTTAAAGGCCTTGTGAGTGCCACCATCAAGTTTGTAATGCCTCCTCCCCTTTCTTAGGGGGTGCAACTAATGATAGTCAGTCCAAGTAGATGGATAAAATCCCAAAATCCTCCACCCTTTCTCATTTACCATAGGAGATACACACCTCCACATGCTTCTATTTCGCCATGATTCATAGGGAGCTTCTTATGTCCTTGAATTTATACCTTAGTTTGAGCTAGATGTGCTTTGCTATATTTAGTGTTACCCTTGTCTTCCTCTACTATTATTAGGGAATATGTCACATCTCATTTCATTATGATCCAATCACCATCTTTTCTACTAACCAATAGCATGGGAGCCACTTGGTATGTGTTGAAAGCCTGAATTAAACTATGATCCTGTTTAGGTTGGCTTGACTTGCTTCATTTAGTTTAGGTTTTTTGGAAGGCATAATTTTGAAGGCAAAATGGACTAGATTGTTCTCATATTTGTTACTCCTTTCAAAGAGTCTTAGATATTGAAGAATTTCTTATGCCCGGATCTATAAGCAGGTCCATTCAATACATTGTGGAGTGATCTAAATTTCTAGAAACTTTAAATCAATATGATTTGCTTGCATCTTCATTTTTTGCTAACTAATTGGTGTAAATCATAGCATGTTAATGCAAATAGATAGAATTATTAAATTGCATTCCCTGTGGTTCCTGCTGCAACTAGAAACTAGATTTGAAGGGCTATTTGATTCACGTATTCTACCCAATGATCCATCTCCTACTGCAACTTCATTCTTATGCTTCGTTCGACCCAATAGCATGTTAGCTTGAGCCATATATTAGTTATTGGCTTCATAACCTGTGTTAAATTTAAAAAACTTGCTTCATTAATTAGCTTCCACATAATGCCCCCATCATAATATATATATGTATATATATTAGTTTTTCTTATAATTAATTGCATATTTGAATTGATGGAATATCATAAGAAAATTCTAAGTATAAAATTTAATAAAAGCCTCCCTTTCACAACAATTTCTTCTTGTGAAGGGTATATCTACTGTAAGCATGCATGAACTTTATATTTAGGGACATTTACGAATATACCACACAATTCTTATGTGTTTACAAGTAGGGCTATCAAAACGGCACGCTGTTCGCGAACAGCTCGTGTTCGGCTCGTTAAGAAGCTTGTGTTCGGCGCTAAGTTAACAAGCCAAACACGAACAACAAGAATAAATATTTGTTCGTTCATGTTCGTCTCATTTTGGCTCGAAATACTACTAATCAATTATATATATTATCTTTGATAAGTAATATTTTAAAAAAAAATAATTGACTACAAAGCTACAAAGATTTATAATCAATTAAAAGTATTAATGAAGAAAATAGAATAAAAATTATAAATTAGATTCAAACGATGTTTTAAATCTTGCCTCAATCTTTAACTTCTTATGGCTACATGATTAGAGTTGTCGAAACGACTCTTTGTTAGTCGACGACTCGTTTTTAGCTCGCTAAACAAACGAGCCGAACACGGACACACTTTTGAGCTTGAAATATAAACGAGCCGACCACGAGTTCAACGCTCGTGTTCGGCTCGTTTACACCCCTATTTACAATAAGAGAAATTTATAAATAGACAATCATTCACGCAATCACGCTATGCTTTACCAAATTAAAATGACAACCATTCACGCAATTCATATAAAATTTGAGAATGCACAATAGTCGAATCACAGCTCACAACAAAACCCTTCTATCAGATCTCATCCATAAAAAAAAAAGATCAGAGCTAGAGGCAATAGTTGAATCACAGCACAAATGCTTATACTTGTATGAAGTTAATGCTTAAACCTGTATGAATCACAGCACAAATGCACAATAACACTCACAACAAAATCCTTATATCAGATCTCATCCATTAAAAAAAAATAAGATCTAGAAGCAATATGCGAGATTTCATTCCCAAATACTTCAAAAACTAGGTTTCACTCAAAAAATTTAAATAAATCTAAAGGAAATTTAAGAGAATTTAAGCTAAGATTCCAACCTGAAGATAAATATAAAATATTAAGAAAAGATATTCAAAAATGACACCTATGTGTCCTTACAAGCAGCCAAGCAAGAACATCGAGTAACCAAGCAAGAATATAGAGCAACTAAGCAAGAATACCGAGCAATCGAGCCAACGCCGACTCGCCAAGCACAAAGATACTTTATCGAGGGCAAATAGAAGTAGAGATAAGAGAACGAACACAAACGACAAACACTAAGCTCTCGCGGCCGAAAGCTTCTCGCGATTTTGGGAGGAGAAGAGAAGGAGAAGACATAAAGAGGGATAGGTTGCCCAACCTGAAAGCTTTCGAGGGATGCGGAGCCGGTTGGTTTACGGGCTTGAGGTTTTTTTATTTATTCACGAATGACGAGCTTTAACAGCTCTACAGACGGCGAGAGAACTGAAGGGATAAAATGCTAAGGACAAAGACAAAGACGGATTGTGTGCAAGGATAGGGCTCTCAAAAATTGATTCAACACAATTCGAACTTGATTGGAAAATATCGGGTTAGGGTTAACCCTAATGTTTTTGAATTCGGTTAGGGTCAAAGAGTTCGACCTATTTATTATTCGGCTCAGGTTCGGGTTGAACCCGAGAACCCAAATATAACCTAAATAAGCACGAAATTTCGGGTCAGATCGGGTTCGGGTTAGCAGGTCAAGCTCGAGGTTGTTTGGGTTCGTGTCTTAGTTTCAACCCATTTTTTGTTCAGGTCGTGTTCGGTTTCACTCTATTCGAGTTGTATTATTTTCGAGTCAAACCCAAACTCGACGAATTGTATTAATAGTAGTAGGTAAGTGCGAGAGGCTTAAATATATTGCTAGCTAAGGCATATTCGTGTCAAATTGACCACCGTCGAGTCAAGTTAAAGAGGAAGACAAAATATTTACATCGAGCTTCAAGTGGCCTGGTACTAAGAAGAGATGCGAGGAGGATGGGAGTGACAAAGGATCTCGTACCCTAGTCTACCGACAAAGAAGAAGAAGAGAGGAAGGAGCATTACATAGGAGGAGAAAGAGGCGTGATGTCGATATTCGGCGACAACATCTCTATCGAGTCGGCCTGGGTGTCTTATAGAGGAAGAGGAAGCGGGAGGATGGAGAAGATATTGTGTAGTGTCGAGTCGAGCTGAGAGAGGAGGTTTGGAGAAATTTAGTGCGTGAGGAATTTTTAAGTTGTAAGTTTATTTAAGTTATAAAGATTACACACACACACACACACACACACACACACACATATATATATATATATATACAAATATATTTATTAATGTGCCGGCCCTCAAGAAATGTTAGGGTATTAATTCTAAAAATATTTTGTATAAATTTGTAATATGTATATTATAGTAATTAAAATTCAAATTTCAAGTATTGAAATCTAAAAATAGTGTAACGTAAAAATAATTGATAATTAAATTAAAACTTTAAGTAAAGTAATAATTGAATGTTTTACATTTTATAGATGATAATTTGATGTAAATAATACAAATTAATAGCAGGCAGACTGTTCATCATTGAAGTGATTACTTATGTTCTTATTCTATAGTGATATTTTGTATTTTTAAAATCAAAAGTATTTGTTTGTATTATCATTGGTTATATTGAAATTACTACAACTTATGATTTAGAATTCTATTGAATTTTTGTTCACAGTGAAAGAATAATATGTGCACATCATTATTTAGAAATTTGACTGTTATGCAAAATGAATAGATTTTTATTAGCAAACGATATTTTATTGGATGTATGTAAGTGCATGATTGACTATGATGAAGTCACACTTTAAAAGTATTAATGAGGAACACAATGTATGTGCACACGTAAATGAAAAAGGATGTTGATATTAAAGTACCTTAAGTGATACAATTTTAGATGGTGCTCCTATGATAGATATAAAGAGATATTAATATAATATTGATATAGACTCTTTGAATAGCATGTTAAATAATTATATTGATTGATAAAGAAACTTAATTGGCATGTATATTGTTCTTTTCCCTTGTATTGTTATAGTTTATGAGTATATGCATTCAATAGTTTTATTTAGCTTATTATTGTATTAACTAAATTATTAAAAGATTGGCGGTAGACGATAAAATGTTTATAGACGATGGAGGCAACCAGTAACAAGGCAATTTAACAGTATCACTTTAATTTAATTTATTGTGACTCTTTCATCAGTTAAATTATAAATTAATATAGAAATTTTAATTCAAACTGTTCGACTGTTTGTACCTACCTTGGATAATTTCAAGCCCCGATCTGGATCGTGACATTTGTCATTCATTTGACCTTCTAAATATGCTCAAAAAGCTTTTATTTTTACTTCACTTAGATTAGACCAGTTTTGATATCATTGTACATCTCATCGAGCCGATCAATTGAATTATAAGTTTGATGAAGTTGGAGCTTTGAATGACTCTTAATTAAAGTCTGATTATTTCTTACTCAAATGATTACCTCGAGATCAATGGCTTGCCTCGCGATTCCTGTTGAATGATAGAAATTTTTTGATGATATATCAATTTAATACATATTTTCTGGTGGGACCAGCTTTGGCTTCCGAAAATATTAATGTCTGCAACTTCTTACACTTTCATGATAAAATATATATATTATATTTGTAGCTTTGAGTAGCTTTGAGTATTAATATAAAAAAAAATTATCTGTAGAAAGTAGTGCAACTCGATTGGTCAAGAAGTTTTCAAGCTTGGAATTTGGAGCAGGGTTCTATTCCCCTCCTTTGTGAAAAAATAAATAAATAATAAATTATGGCCTGTGGAGCCTCCTATAATTGGAACGACCAAAATTATGGCTGCTTGGAATGATGGGGATTTAAACGGGCTCATGACTTGGAATTAGAGCAGCGGAATTCCAAAGGTTGGAATGCGGACCCGCGAGATTTTTAGGCCAATTTCAATTTTTTAATAGAATTTTTTTTAATGCAAGCCTTCATCTCAGGCCTATAAATAAAGGACATGGATGAGAGAAAAAAATCACAATTGATAGGAGGAGGACAAGAAAAGGAGGAAGAGTAGAGTCAAGTTTTATCAATTCGTTAGCGACCAATCAACATCCTAGAAGAAGAAAGTCATTTGTGTCTTGTGTAACAACCAATCAACAATATCTTCTTTTGTGTTGCAGTGCAGAAGAAAGTTGTACTCATTTTGTGTAGCAGGCGATCAATGAGATATTTTTTCACGTTGTGGTGCAGAAGAAAGCAGTACATGTTGATGCACCAAAACGTATCACGATGTAAGTTGGCCGAACAACACAAGTATATGTGTCAAGTAATAATGCTATTAAAGAGTGTCACGTAACGATCCCATAGCGAAGCTCATTAAAATATCATTTTGAAGAAGCAAAAGCTCTGGTTTATTGACTATTCTAACCAAGGTTGGCAAATTTAGAAAGCAAGGAAAGAAATTTCTAAGTCTAAAAGATTTTGAAGAAAGCAAAATAGATGAAAACGTGGATCAAATTTTGTTGGTGTTTTTTCAATAGTAATAAGGATAGTGCCTCTGCAGTTTAGGTGTGGCACATGGCTTGATTTTCATATAAATTTCTCCCTTGTGGTGGTTGTCAACTAGGGATATTGAGCTCTTTTTGTGCATGTCTAGGTTCAAAGAAAATTTTGAATTCCATAAAGATAGCTTTTGCTTATCTTCATTGCTTCCCCAATAAATTCTGATGCCCTATGATTGGTTGTAAGATCTGAAATAAAATATTCTTATTTTATTCAAATCTTGTGGTTAATTTAATTATTCCACTACGCTTCTATCAAAGTCATAGATCATGATGGATTTTAACGTCCTAATTGGCCAAGTTAGGAGTAAACAAAGGCCAAAATATTAACCAATAACTCTTAAAAATTCAAAGCACAAAAAATGATATGAGAAATCCAAAATAAAATCAAACCAAGAAAAACATCCCAAGTATTTTAAGGAATAAAAAATTGTTTAGCTACTCATGGATCGAGAGGAAAACAAAGAAGATTTCATAAAAATAAAACCTGCAAGAAACATTTTTATTGCAATAAAAAATACCTACAATTTTTTGATCTCCTAAAAGAATAGCCTCCAATTTTTATCACAACTCTCTTAGAAAATACAGACACAAGAAAATTAGGAAGAAGAGAAGAATTCTCCCACAAAACTTTAGCTTCCTCTGGAATTCTCTCTCCAAAAAACTCTCTAAATCTTCTCCTCACAATGATTTTATAGAATAAATTCAAAAACCTTTCCAAATTCTTCAGAATCCTACATTAAAAATATTTTAAATGTGAAAAGATGCGGCGGCGTGACCACACTCGACCTGTGACATAATTACATCATGGGTTTAGGTTGGATGGCGTGGTAACGCCGTGTTTCGGCTTGGCTATGCTAGAAGCTCTTTCATACTATCTGTTTTGGCACATTAGACGTGACCACACTGTATTTTAGTTTGAAAACGGTGCTCAAGTGGGGTGGACATGCCAAATTCAAGCATGGCTATGCTGAGACAATTTTTTTCCAAACTTCCTTGTTTCACTCTAATTTTTGTGCTAGTCAACGAGATCTTCTTTCTCATTGTGGTGCAAGAGAAAGTCATCCTCATTTGTGTAGCATTCGATCAACGAGATATTCTTTCACATTGTAATGTAAAAGAAAGTCATTTTCATATATGTAGCATGTGATCAATGCGATATTCTTTCACATTACTATGCAGAAAAAGGTTGTCTCCATCCTATATAGCAAGCGATCAATGGGATTTTCTTTTGCGTTAGAGTGCATAAGAAGGTCATCCCTGCCTTACGTAATAGGAAATCAACAAGATCTTCTTTCATCTCACAGTGTAGAAGAAAGTCATCCATGTCCTCCATATCAAGCAATCAACGAGATATTCTTTTGCATTGCAGTGCAGAAGATAGCCATCTACTTCTATGTAACAGGCAATCAACGGGATCTTCGTTCGCATTGCAGTGCAGACAAAATTCATACATATCCCACGTAGCAAGCAATCAACTGGATTTTCTTTCTCATTGCAGCATAGAAGAAGGTCATCCCCATAATAAGTAGCAGGAGATCAAAAAAAATTTCTTTCGTGATGCAGAGATGAAGAAAGTTATACCAGTCCATGCCCAGCAACTGACTCGGGTTCTTCTTGCTTGTTGTTGTTGTGCATTTCGGTGGAGATGAATAAATGGAGTTTTCTCATTGTGCTTTTCGGGAGAGATTTTCATGCTTATGTTGTGGCAG